TTAGTCAGTAGTAGGATTTGTGAGATTGCAGAATTAGTGTCTGTAAATTTGTGTACAATTAGTTGATCCATGTAGACAACGATACACACAACAACAACAACTTGTTCGTTGTTTATCAACTCACCGGCATCCATTTCGAGAATTTATGCGGCCAGACAAGAGAGAGTGGAGCAAAAAGCGATGACTCGATGGGAAAGTCGGACGCTTTCATCTTATTGCTTCCCCTTCGAAGGCTGAAGAGGACCTCTGAGGCGTCCCGTCGCGATTAAGCGCTGTTTGAGGCAAAAAATTATACAAAATTCTGCTATAGTTAGTACAGCCTCTTTAGCTCAGCCATTTGACTATTCTTTGCGTCCATGACAACGCAGCGATATGAGTGAGCCTCACAATCATTCCAAAATGGCATTCATAGTTGGGCGGTATGGGTTTCTCCAAACCAACGAAGCCTCGTCAGATCATGTATGAAATGTTGGTATTCGCATCCATGCCTGATCAGAATGAATCCAGGCTGCAGAGGCAACCATCTCGAAAAAAGCATACAGCTTTGAATTACGAGACAGCATCACTTCAGCTTGACCGGTTAAATAATAATAATTATGGAAGGTATGAAGACCAAGATGGTGTGGTCTTTTGTGTGGTCGCAGTCTCCTTTCGTTGTAAAGAAGTTGTTTGACCTTGTTTTTAGCAACTTGGTCACATTGGTAGGAAGACTTAGAGGAACACACCTAATCCGGAGTCCATTGTATGCATCATCACTTCCAGAGTACGATTGTGGACGTGGTACATTCCCAGACGTTTCGCCGGCATCGTCAGAGGATCGGCTTCACTTGTCTCTTTGACGGTGCTACGAATTGTAAAACTCACTGACGATGCCGGCGAAACTTCTGGCAATGTACCACGTCCACGGTCCGAGTTTGCAAATGATCATGCAGACAATGGACCGCGGAATAGGTGCGTTCGTCTAAGTCCGAGTTACGAAAACAAGGTTAAACAACTCGAAACAACCTAATAATAATAATAATTATTATTATTATTACTGTTATGAAAATTTTCTGAAGATCACCATTGTTCACAATCGACAACCAGTTACCGCAAATCTCTTCACTAATCAGCCAAGTATGCGCCTCATTACTAACTATTTATGTGACACTACTTATTTTAGTTTGAGTAGTTTGATGCAGTAACGACAACTGGTGCTGGAGAAAACAAATAATCTCCCACATTCGACTGGTTGAGGTTGACATTTTTGCTTGATCCATCTTTTAATCATTCACATGATGGCTAAGCCTGTCTTAGCGTTAAATGGTGATGACAGACATTCTGAAGCCAATGTTACAAGTTGGACCGAGCACATCAATCATTTGGGCAAATTAACTTTGTTGGTTTCGCGTTTGCACACCTCGGAGGATCTATCGCGTATTTCTGTCTTTTCTGCTAATAACAAACTAACTTTAGAACAAGCGCTATTCATTTTTCAATATTGATAATGGCTTAAAATACATTTCAAGCTTGTCTCGTCTCCAATTTGGTCGCAGTCTCCATTCGCTGTGGTCAATCGACTTTGTCAGTTCTGCTGCGTCTCTGTGCGATGCACATGAGTGCTTTTGTCCGAAGTCTGAGCATGGAATTGATGTCTTATCTGACGCTTCGTCGCTGCTCACTGACGACACTGACTGGGTTGTCGGAAAATTGTCTAAAATTGTGCCAAACTCACGGCCCAGTGAGTGAAAAATTGACTTGATTTGTAGACGAGTAGAAGCCGAACAGGCCATGTTGACATTGAGGTGGTCCTTACAACACGGCTTTTATGCCAAAGTGAGGTCAAACAAATTGCACAAAATGTCGCCCAATTGAACGTGTAGATAAAGTATAGTTACTGACTTTGGGAATAATATGCAAAGTGAAGTTGACTGTGAAAATCGTCCATTTCTCGTGAAAAGACTGACAGACACCACTCAGCTCTGGTTGGCCCACTGAGGCAACACCGGCATAAGTGATCACGCACAAACGAGTGGGCAAATTGAAGAAGAAAATGGCCAAAGATACTCCAGTCCGAGACTGCGTGTTGTGCGCACGGGCGTCGAGTGGGAGAGGCGACATGTTGTGCAACACGACTACCCAAAAGAGAGCGCATGTTGCTTTCGCCGCCTTCCACCAACTCCGTCGAGGGCTCGTGATGACTGGGTCGTTGCTCGTTTTCGTCTACTGTACCTTGCCTACATCGGCCTCCTGTTGAGGAGCCCGTCACGCTTGGAACGTCGAACTCGGATCTGCCGCTGCCATCGGATTGCGTTGAACCTCTCCTCGCCTCACTGCTCTCTTCTATTGCCTATTTTCATCACTTCTTTTTTCTCCTCTACTCTCTCTTCTCCTCAACACGCATTTGTCCTAGCTACACATTTCTCTTTTCTTATCTTTTCTTCTCTATTCTTCTTTTCTCTTCTATTCTTTTATTTTATTTTTTCTTCTATTCGCTTCGCTTCTCTTCTTTTCTTTTCTTTTCTCTTATATCCTATTCTCTTCTATTCGCTTCGCTTCTCATTTCTTCGT